AATATTCTGTAAGTGACTAAATCATTCAGTACCCAAGCGTATACAGCAAATACATCAATAATGATATTCAGATCATATGGCATATCTGTGACTGAATAAATCTCAATACGTGGTTTTATATAATATGGAAAGCAAATGGTGAAATTGATGATCACAGATGCACACAACAGGATTAAAAAATACCAACATATGATTAGATTCCAAAAAGAAAAGGTTGAACAGACTCTTACACCAGAACATCTGTCAACATTGAATACTGCCATTAAAATATTAAGCGAACAACACAAGGAGTGAAGGCGAGTTGTCCTCAAAGGAAAACTAGCTAAGATATCCAAACAACCATCTGAAGAAACTTTAAATAATTGCATAGTAAATCTATCGAAACAACCATTATCAAAAGCAGAAGAACAGCTTCTTCAGAAAGGACTCAACTAAAATACTGGTGACGATTCAGTAACAGATTTGTGTGTTTCCTTAGAATCATCACTCAAATTATCAAAATTAAATGAGGAAGTACAACAAGGAATACGTCAATGTATCATACCTATACTCAAACAGAAAAGACATAATTTCCAACTTAGCACTGAAGAGCAAAATGCATTGAAGAAACTCAAGAATAGAAAAGATTTAGTTATTCTACTGGCTGATAAAGGAAGAACAACAGTAATCCTGGACACAGAAGACTACATAAAGAGAGCAGAGGATTTACTCAAAGATAATAACGTATATCAACAGTTGCCAAAAACAACATACAAACATTAGACAACAAAATCAGAACAACCTTAAATAAACTAACGAAATCAGGACAAATTACAGAACAAGATCAATAGCGAGTGAAATCTAACGGGCCAATTTAACCTCGATTCTATGGTAGACCAAAACTACACAAACCAAACAATCCCTTACGACCAATCATTTCGCTTCCAGGAACACCAACATATAATCTATCTAAAGAACTTTTCAGGAAATTAAATTACCTAACAGAACCATGCGACCATTCTATCAATTCATCAATCCAATTTTTAGAAAAAATCAAAAACATTCAAGTAGAAGACAATGAAATAATGGTGTCCTTTGATGTCACAGCATTATATTCTTCAGTTAGTTCAAAACTAGCAACAGAAACTATGCAACAATTACTCTATAGTGATGAAAACATAAAAACGCAAAGTTCAACTTGGATAGAACTCATAAAATTATGCCTTACAACATACTTCCAATTCAATACTCAAATATATGAACAAATAAAAAGAACATCAATGGAATCGCCCATATCAGGATTAATAGCTGAAGCTGTTATGCAAAGATTAGAATTAATAGCTCTACCTATAATTAAACCGAAAATCTGGGTACGTTACGCTGATGACACATTTGTAATAATTAAGAGAAATGATTTAGAATATACCCATAACTAATAAACAGCATATCTGAAGACATCGAATTCACAAGAGAAGAATTAGATAACAAAATCCCATTTTTAGATGTCTTAATCAGGAGAAACAACACAGGAAATTTAGAAACACAAGTATATAGAAAATCAAAGCACACAGATCAAATACTCAACTATACTAGCAATAATCCAATTACTCACAAACGAAACTGTGTGCAGACATTGTTTAAAAGAGTTCAAACACACTGTGGCACTCCAGAGTTGAAAAGAATGGAAGAAAAGTACCTACTAACCGTCTTCAAAAAGAATGGTTATCCACAAAATTTCATCAAAAATCGCTTAAAGTCGAATCAAAACACCAACAAAGAACCATCATCAAAGACCACAAGAAAATTCATCCTACCATACATGAGAAATATCTCTGAAATAACAGCTAGAATACTGAAACCGTTTGATATAGATATAGCACACAAGCCAGTCAAACCGCTTAATTCGATATTATGCAAACAGAAAGATCCAACAGATAAAGGAGATAATATTAATACCATTTACAAAATAAATTGTATGAACTGCAACAAGCATTACATCGACCAAATTGGGCGTCCCCTTAGAATTAGAATCCAAGATCACAAATCAGCCATGAAAAGACACGATATATATTCTTTAGTATCAGTGCATATAGACAATTATGGACATCAATTCGATTGGGATAATGTCGAAATCTTAGACAGAGGGAACACCAAAAGTGATTTCAGGGAATTCCTAGAAGCCTGGTACTCAAACGAATATGCAATTAACAAACAAGTTAATATAGGCGAAATATACCAAATAATAAAATAAAAAAATAAAATCAGGTGACCAGAAAGTTTAAAATCCAAGTCAATAGAAAATGACCAATACATATGTAAAGATGGTTACCAGGAGACGCAATTATATCACTCATGAAGAAATTTAAATCATTTCACTTTGTGCTAAATATTGCGCTGAAAATGTTGTCCAGCAGGAGGACGAAGAAAGCTCCGCAACTAAATCAACCAGCTCAGAGAACACTATTAATTGCAAATCATCCACCTGAGCTACAAATCTTCTCTATTATTTCAAAAGTGTAAATGTTTTGGCTCGTTTAATTGATCTTCAGACTTGAAAGACACTTAATGGTGCAAGTTGCTTGAATGAATGACTTCATCGGATATCGCCACTAATCGAGCCATCGTAGTCCATTACTATGATGGTTTAGTGAGAATTTATACGTTTTACATGCTTTTCAAATGAAATTTTGCATTAAGAAATCTTCACTGCAGTACATAATATTGGTGGTATAATATTCTAGAACTGCGCGACATTTACTGCAATACAATCAGGAAATGTTGCGTGATACTGACATCTGCGCAATCTAACGGATTAAAGGATTCAGTTAAACGTCTATTTTCGGATTTTCATGAAATCCTGCTAGCATGTTTGGCCTATTTATTGAAATACAACCACATAGTTTACGTCGTTGTTGATAGGCACTTGACTTCGTGCAGTAAATTTGCTAAAGGGATTTTGTCTGACTTGGAGCATCCACTTCACTCTCAGCTTTCACCTTGCATCTCCTCAGGTAGAACAAGGAGTAACTTCAGAAAACTGTATGCTCGCATGTCTAAGTATAAAAATTCTATGATACCATACTTGGCATGTATTTTATGTGATGAAAATAGCGTCAGGCAAGAATTGACTAACCTTTTTTCATCTGGTAAATAAACAGTTTCCTCCATCCATCCATCCTCATATACCTTCAAGTTTTACTTCTATTATTTCTATTAAATTTATGGTCCTGTTGCTTCTTTGTTTTTACTTTCATAAGTGCAAACACCAACTTATCTCTATGACTGCTGTAATCTTTGTTTTTCCTCTCACCATATAATGTAAAGAGAACATTATATTCAATAGTTTTAAACATGCTAGGATTTCTATACCACATCGGCAATACTGTGTGAAACAAGCCCACGGCAATTTTCACTTGCATTATTATTATTACCTTAGCTGTTATCATTATTATTATTTCCATTTTATATGCTGCATGTTTTTGACATTACCCCTATTGTAAATGTGCAAATTTTTCTGTGTGATTAATTTTATTTATAATTTGAGGAAAATAGATGCAATATTGTGATTAATGCTAAAAATTCCATTCTGTATCCCAGGTACTGTTTTGGAATAAAGTAAATCATTATTATTATTATTACCCACCGAATAAAGCAGGTCACACTACCTCAAAAAAGGACTATGCCATATAATCACCCTACTTAAATAATTCACCACTAAAAATAACAGTCGTTATCATATGGCTTTCAGGTAGCCATTTTTTAAAAACTTCCTTGTGTTCCGAACAGAACACTTTCCCAGGTTTATTATCAATTAATTGGGATTTCTGAGTAGTAGTTTCGAAGATCTCGAGTAGTTTCCGCGAAGTAATTTGGAAACTACTGGAGTACTACGGCGTACCCCAAATATTCATCAACCTTATTCAACAGATGTATGACAACGGCACATGTCAAGTAATCCACAACAGAAAACTCAGCGAGGCGTTTGGAGTAAACACAGGAGTCAGACCAGGGTGCTTATTATAACCAAAGATATTCCTAGTTGTGATGGACTGGACTATGCGTCAGACAGTGGGAAACGAGAAGACAGGGATATCCTGGACAGACGTGAAGAACCTAGAAGACCTGGATTTCGTGGATGATTTATATTTGATGTCACACAAAATCGAAGACTTACAAGCGAAAACCGACAAACTGGTCGAAGAGGCTGGCAGCAAAGACAGGACTCCAGGTGATGAACATAGACAAGACGGAGGTTATGAAAATAACCAACCAACCAACAACAACAGGAGCAACATCCAGAGCCAATCACCATCAGCAGGAGGGATTTGAAAGAGGTTACTTCATTCACTTATCTAGGGGGCATCGTCTCAACTACAGGAGGAACGTACGAAGATGTCAAATCGAGAATCGGGAAGGCGAGAAACACATTCATCAACCTGAAACCAATCTGGAAATCTTCGTCACTCAGCAACACTCAACAACAAATTCGGATTTTCAATACAAACGTCAAGTCAGTCAGTTCTTCTATACGTACGGATCAGAAACTTGGCGGGTCACAAAGAATATTTCCAACAGTCAGTTGCACACCTTTATCAACAACTGTCTTCGCTGGCTCTATGCTGAAGATCAGACGGCCACCGGAAAGAATCACCAACAAGAAACTATGGGAAGAAACGAAACAAGAACCAATGGCCCAACAAATATGCAGGAGAAAATGGAGATGGATTGGATTCTCGCTGAGGAGGCCGCTGGGTGACATCGCGCGTCAGGCCATTGCTCGAGTGGAACCTGAAAGGGAAGCGGCGAGTGGGACGTCCAAGGGTGACATGGAGGAGATCATGTGAAGAGGAGTTGAAACAGTATGGATTAAGACGGATGCAGGTGAAAAGTACAACAGAAGACAGAAGCAAGTGGAGACGTGCAGTTGAAGCCCTATATTCCACTAGGAACCCAAGGGAACAATAATAATGATAAAATGACCAATAATAATAATCATTGATTATTCAAAACTTATGCCTCACCTGAAAAATGCGCATATTACTTAGCGCTTTATTAGTATTCGGTATGGACATATTCACACGTGTAGAGACAGGTGGTGACGACATTTGACTTAAATACGCATTTATTTCAGAGCTTATGACTGGCGGATAGCTCAACGTTGTATTCGGTAGATTCTGTGAATAAATCATGAAGTTGGCAGGTGTTACAACGGTGTGTAATTGTTTACAAAAACTGTCATTCATAACACCATTACCATTATTATTATTGTTATTGTTATTACTATTATTATTGTTGGTGTGAACAGTATCCGAAGTTTCTACAAGATGTAATTCGTTGGACACTGTTTTGTTCAACTCATTATTCATTGGATGTTGATAATTTGAATAGTTCCACCATATTGGTTCTTGATTGATTGTTGATCCGGCTACTGATACTACTGATGCTGATGTCGGTGTAGTTGGCTTAGCTGATATCACCTCTGACGATGGTGTATTTGTTGTGTGGCATGTATGCGCTGTCAACTGCTCATTATTTGCACATAGCGTATTCTCTAAATTGTTGGCAGCAGGATCAAGAGCAGTTTTCAGGTGCTTTTTCCGGTACATTTTTTCATCCAGTAAATAATACCAACCTGAAATCTGAAAATATTTAACAGAAGCAAAAAAAAAACAAAAACGGAATTACCGGTACGAATATTTAAGGAGCAAAATTTTGATAACAAATAATCTAATTATGAATACAAGCATTTGGAAGGATCTTGATTACCAGTCGGCACATGATCTGATGTGTCTCCTCTTCATGTACAAATTTGATAATGATAATGATTCGACTCATTTGCGGATTCATGACTGATATTAACTACTAGCATATAAAAGACAATATTGTCACCTTTAGTTACCATTATGGCTGGTTATCCGAGAAGGAGACGCTGAGTTCAACTTACACAGCACTGGACAAAGAAGTGAAGAAGAGTGCCAGGAAGGACAAAAGACAATTTTACAACAGTCTGGCCGCTGAAGCTGAGAAGGCAGCAGGCAAAAGAGACCTGAGGACATCATATCAGATAACCGATTCTCAATCCTGGAAGAGATCAACACAAGTGAAACCTATAAAAGACAGCCAAGGGAACCCAATTGCCAAGGAAGAAAGACAGGTTAAACAATGGGCGGACCACTTCGAAGCACTCTTGAACTGACCACCACCTACAACCCGTCCAGAAATACCAACGACAGCGCGTATATATATGTATATATATATATGCTCAGATGACTTAATAAATGGTATTTGGTTGTCGATCTCTCTCTCAACACTTTTGAATTAGATTTTAAGACTATCATTTAATGCCATTCTGTTGCATGGTTGTGTGTTATTGCCTGTAGTGCTACGGTTGAGCTACTTCCTAGACTTTTCATCTAATTAAGGCCGATTAAACTAGATTTCGCCTGATCTTTGTGCTCCGCTAATCTAAATGACCCTGCTTACTAGTTTGACCGATGTATTTAATTTCACATTTATTGCCATTTATGCCAGATGAAGTAAGTTACTTTATTCAACGGTCTTAGCAGATCCTTTTTAGCCGATATCATTTGTTTCTGGGAGAGTATATGGGCTTGTTGCCACTTTGTTAAGAATTCTATTTAAGGTTTTAGAGGTTAATTCGTTGTCTAGAAAATCTACAGTTGTTTTAGGTTCCTTATTCTTGGAGTTATATGTCGGCGTGTGTTTGTCATTCAAGTCGTCCTTATTACTATTTTCCTAATTATTCATACATACTTCGTGAGCTAGAAAATACCTTGGATATAACACTTCATACAGTTGGGCACAGACAAACAATAGAATGAGATAAAATGCCAGTCTTAAAATGTATTCCAACAGGGTGGAGGGAGAGAATGATCATGGACGATTTATTCATTCGATCAATTGAGAATAAGTGCAATAGGAATGACTCAACATTTGTCCATCAAGACATCTGGAGAATTCTACTCACCTAACAACAAGTTGGAAAGAAGGAAAGAAACTATAAACAAGAAGTATCACAGTTGTGCGTCCATAACTGATGATATGACGATAAACAATAAGAGATTGTGTTTGAAACGTCATCTCATAGTACAAGCAAGTCAATTTTTCGGCTGAATTCTAACGTTTAATGTTGAGAGACGGTCAACCGATTCAGATAGTTACATGAATTGTATGCAAATCACATTTTGAAGGTTGAGTTATCTGATTTTTCAGGTTTCTGCATGTCACTGGCTAAAACCTAAGTCCCGAATAGGGCGAAATGCGCATCCTGGATTCCACTGCTAGTCACCATCCACCAATTAACCTCTAATTACATGGCCAGACATCGTCGAAGCATCTGCACAAGAAGCCGACATGTCAACCTGAGATCGAGCACTTCGGTCCAATCAATCGATGGTAAAATCTAAAAAATTCAATTAAATTGATATGACCCATTACGCAATAGGTGGCTCTCGTGGCCCAAGTGGTCTAGTAGATTACGCTTTGGCGTTTGAACCATGGGCACTTGGTTCGAGCCTCGATGGGAACATCATCACTCACTGGAAAATGCAGGTACATCCAGATGACGAGTCCCAAATAGGACGAAATTCGCGTTATCCTGGATTCCACTGCTAGTCACCATCCACCAATTAACCCCCGAAAACTTAAATGAGTCCTAAAATATTTTTGTAGAATTCTTATGAACCAAAGTAAATCATACTTAGAATGATTCTAGCCTCGAAGGTATCTTATAACACGTAAAGCGTACAACGACAACTGTGGAAAGCACTTTCCATAATAATTTATAAAGTTATAGCTCCATCAAAGTTATGATAAGTCAGGATGGAGTGATATATATCTTTGACAGTGGTCAGCACTTCAGTACATGGTGTTGCTTATTGAGATCCCAACTGGGCATTCCAGTTTTTCTGATTCTAAAGGGTTATCTTTTGAGCGTTTCCATACTGTTCCTAGTGTCTGGTTACATAATACTTTGATATGATTTCCCCTATATTTTAGCTGATAGAAATGTTAGCTGTTTCATAGACTGAGTAGAATTCATCTCATTATAACAGACTGTAAAACAGATGTTTTAATTGTTCACGAGGGGGTAAGTGATATAGTGAGTCTGGTACTTCTTGTTGGTGTAATGTGGTCGCCAAGTCAGGTGGCTCACCATCGTGGAGCGCTCTAAAATCGACCGTAGGCAACTGGAGGCGGTTTGCAGGAAAATCTGGACCTAGGTTAGAGGCATAATACCTTCTAGGTTTACTCTAAATAGACAACATAAAAATCAGTTGGTAAGGTTGAGACTCTTCACAGATAAAATGAACTGGTATTTGAAACAGACGTAATGAAGTTTCACCCTCCTTGTAGAATGATTTAAACTGAATTCAGATTGGAACAAAGTAGGTAGATGTTGATAAGGAAAACTAAGGTAAGCAACCTCAGGGTCTGGAACTGCTGCTCTTAACTGCTAAAGACAGTTTAGTATGACCATTTAGAGATTTTATCTTTCTCTGTAAACATACTCATTTAATTTGTTATCAATCTGTTCTCCTTACTGTTAAGCTCTACAAACTGTTGCAGTTTGAAGCGATAAACATTTTGTAAAACTTCATTGACACAGTCATTACTTCAAGACTTAGGAGTTTTTATTTTTACCATGAAATATGAGGCTATAATATCTTAGAATTGCTGATTTTTTGTAAGGCTGGCTATCTCACATTATTTAATCCACTTATGTTTCAGATACCAGAAGTCTACAGGCAGGATATCTTACTACACCGAAGGTTTTATTCATATACAGACATTCACCAGTGAATCATTTTTACAAAATTAACACGATCTATGTTTCATGTAACATTCGAATTTCCATCTAGTGGGATTACAATGCCACATTGATTTCTGTTGAACTCATCCTATTATTAATCTTTTCGGTCAAAGCCTTTACTTCAACTGAATGGCTATAAACTCATAGAATAAGTTAATTACTGAAAGGTCTAGCTTGTACTATATATTTTTGCCGATAACATTTTTAGAAGTGCTTAATGATGGGTTTTCTTATTCGAACTGATTTATTAGCAGTTCATCCCAAAATTTAGGTTAATTTTCATAAAATTTTCAAAGTTTTGGCGTGCAAAGATTTGATTCATTTTAAGATTGATCACGAACTAAATTCATCTATAAAACCACTGAAAACCGACAAGGAGTACTGAACAGCTGTTTCGTCCTTGTTTGGGACTCTTCAGTAGCGGTAGCCACCTCTGACTATATCAGGGACCGAACCCGAGATTTTCAGATTGAAACACAATCTCGTATAACATTCAGCCATTAGAACAGGATCTTCTGGCCCATGTTTTCTTCCATCTGCCAACTGGCGATACATAACACTACCGTAAGACAGTGACTTCGAGGACTATTTGTCCTCAGACCCAACTTGGTGGACACTGATGGTCAGGACTTCAAAATAGAACTTCAAGGAACTTTGTCCTGTAGTTAATCACTGGTAAAATTTTTGTGGGAAGTTGTGACCACTGGGGTCCACCAAGTTGAATGTGAGGACAAATACTTTTCGATGACATTGATTGATGATTGCGTTATTTATCGCGATTTGTCAAAAGTTAGAATTAGTAGACCACCGCATTCTGTCCCAGAGACTGAATGGTCTACTATCTCACGTTGAAACATGAAAATCCTGGGTTCTGGGGGCGTACTGATGAAGAATCCCAAAAAAAAGATCAAAACAGCTGTCGAACACTTCCCACTGGTCCTTAATGGCTGTGTTATTGAACTTATTTCTCGATCAGTCTTAATATTCATTCAATACTGATATTTGAAAGTGTCGCTGTTTTGCAAAATGAAGCACATTTATATGATTTGTTTCCAAGTTTCCGCTTTTCAGATAAATTTTTAATGTTATGCTAATTCTCCTATGACATTTGTTTAAATAAAATGAAGCGAATTTTGTTTGTCAGTGACTTCTTAATACCCACTGACAAAAATACAATTTACTCATAAATTAAATAAGATGGGAACTTACTATAAAAACGAGGAAAATATGTACACTGATCATTCACAGAAGCAGAGAATAAAAGTCAGACAGTAAGTCTTATTGGTATGCGTTCAGAGAAAAACACAATCGCACATACATACACACTATAACGTATATATGCTGTATCAACAATCTCTGAAAGCTGAATATACTAGGTGAGTATGTAATAACTAGGCAGCTAACTCAAGTCCCCACAGAGATTTGAACCCAAATCACAGAGTGATGCTGCCAGAGACTTTCTTCTATTCCTTCACGTTCCTAGTGGAACATGGGGCTTCAAGCTAGAGGCTTAAAAATTCTGTAGCATTGATGGTTATTTTTACAGGATGGGGTTGCTAGCCTCATGCCCAACCTTTCTTCTTTGTCAATTCTATTGCTGGTTTAGCGAGGTAAGGGAGTGCATCGGCCGGGGATCGAACCTCGAGAGGTTATCACTGAACTGATCAGACTCGTGAGCTGTAACAGATATGATAATTAGACACTAGATAGTCAATAATGTTATGACCCATGAGTTCCAACTTACACCAACGTCATCCTGTAATCCGATTCGAATCCCGATGGTGGATGAGTACTGGTGAATAGCCTCAAACTGTGACAAAACAGCTATCCAGTCCTCGTTGGTTTTCCAATGATTCTGTAACTGATGTCAACTTACGATCAAACTTGTAACCGACGAAATCCTTGCAAAACAACAATTGAAAACTAATGTCGTGCTATTGAAAATGCTAAGACTAAAAAGTATTTCTAAGTGATCGTTTTTTCCATCCTTCCAGGTTACTAATTTTTTAGAATGCTCAAAAACTGAATTGGTTACAGGATTTCATCATGAGCTGACATTGGTTAGAGAACCATTGGAAAACCTGGGAGTACTGCACAGCTGTTTTGTCACAGTTTGGGACTCCTCAGTGGTACGCACCCACCGTCAGGATTGGAACCCAGGACCTTTCGGTTACAAGGTGAGCTCTCAGACCATTTAGCCACTGGGACCCGATCCAACGGCCCATGAATTCTAACTTCTGCCAATTCACGACATAGCGCGACCGCTAGCCAATGTCTTCGGTGAGTATTTGTCCTCACACCCGACCTGCTGCACCCTACTGGTCACGACTTAATAACCAAATTACTGTTGGCAGTCTGGTTGATTATGTTTGTTGCATAAGGTGACATTTATATTGCCTGATAGTCGCGAGTCACAACTCATTCTAAATGAATATTTTTTCCTCAAAAGTAACCCTTACCTAACTTTCATAACCCAGTAAAGATGGATTTGAGACCAAATACACAGAGGATTGGTAGTTCAGCCAAAGGTGTAATCGTGGAAGGTGAAAACACCCGTTGTTTGTTGGAACGCTCCACATAAATATTGCATATTAGAATTTAAAAATTTAGTAAACGTTTTTTCATGTAACAACATATATTTCCACTGATTAGCATCACCCTGTTCGTATTAATTTCCTCAAAGTTTCCGAAGTACTATATTATTTAAAAATTAACTAGAAGTTGGGGAAAATTTGTTTGAAATTTTTGTGGTTCCAAGAGTGGAATTGGTGCATTCTAAGTATTCTGCAAACTAGGGATAGCAGTCACGGCCAGAGTGTTACAATCTCTCAAATCGTCATTATGAGCTGTCAATTAGGCAGGATCAGCCACTTATAAATAAAGTTATAAATTAAATTAAATTTAACCATTAACAACACTTACATGTTTCTTATTTTGTATACTGGCTATTCCAAAAGACATTCCACCCACAAACTCACTGGAATATAATAAACAAATAAGGTACTAGTTAATCAGAAATAGAACATAAGCACAAGGATAGATTATCATTTCATAATGAAATATTGTTTGTTATTAGACGGTTGGAGGCAATCGGCAGGAAGCCATTGACTTAGGTTTCGTGCTAGTTAGCACTCATCAGCAAGGCGTATCTGCAACTTTGAAGGAACTGATTTTCATTCTGAGATTCGAACCCGCGTCACTCAGTGCCGCAGTCAAAGACGTTACCACTGAGCTATTCAGTCTCGCCACCGATCTCCTGTAGGACTGTATTGGATATTTTTGATTGCACACTAGTCAGTAACTAGTGTAATGCGTCTAGTCCTATCTTCGGTGCAGACTGAATTCCATCACTGTTTGTGTTGTTTTTTAGCAAAATACTAAACAATAAAGTAACATCTAATAATGGTGTTCCGAGAACAGCCTACTTTTCATCGACTTTTTAGGATGAATTCAAAATCACTGGGCATAAAAGTTGTAAACAAAAGTGATAATGTTGCTTTCAGGAAGAGAACAATTGAACGCTGGACGTCATCCAGCTTTAAAACTGTTCGCAGTTCATTTCATTTGGTCATTACTATACTTGTAAACATTTCTTGTCAAGATCACGGTTGCATTCTGTCTGGACTTTTACTGATTACAAGTAAGAATTGTCAACATTTTATGTAAGTGAACAGACTAATTTAATGACATTATTTTATATTTGTCATTTTATATTTGGATTATGCATCAGACAGTGGGAAACGAGAAGACAGGGATATCCTGGACAGACGTGAAAAATTTAGAAGACCTGGATTTTGCTGATGATTTATGTCTAATGTGACACAAAATCGAAGAATTACAGGCAAAAACCGACGAACTGGTCGAAGAGGCTGGCAGCAAAGACAGGACTCCAGGTGATGAACATAGACAAGACGGAGGTTATGAAAATAACCAACCAACCAACAACAACAACAACAACAGCAGGAGCAACATCCAGCGCCAATCACCATCAGCGGGAGGGATTTGAAAGAGGTTACTTCATTCACTTATCTAGGGAGCATTGTCTCAACTACAGGAGACAAGAACGGACGAGGATGTCAAATCGAGAATCGATCGGGAAGGCGAGAAACACATTCATCAACCTGAAACCAATCTGGAAATCTTCGTCACTCAGCAACACTCAACAACAAATTCGGATTTTCAATACAAACGTCAAATCAGTCAGTTCTTCTATACGTACGGATCAGAAACTTGGCAGGTGACAAAGAATATTTCCAACAGCCAGTTGCACACCTTCATCAGCAACTGTCTTCGCTGGCTCTATACTGCAGATCAGATGGCCGCCGGAAGGAATCACCAACAAGAAACTATGGGAAGAAACGAAACAAGAACCAATGGCCCAACAAATATGCAGGAGAAAGTGGAGATGGATTGGACACTCACTGAGGAGGCCGCTGGGTGACATCGCGCGTTAGGTCAACGCTCGAGTGGAACCCGAAAGAGAAGTGACGAGTGGGACGTCGAAGTGTGACATGGAGGAGATCGTGTGAAGAGGAGTTGAAACAGTATGGATTAAGATGGATGCATGTGAAAAGTACAGCAGAAGACAGAAGCAAGTGGAGACGTGTAGTTGAAGCCCTATGTTGTACTAGGAACCCAAGGGAACATTAATAATAATAATACACACTTCGATTTGAAAACTTATATCAATCAGGAGAGGTATTTCGTTTGTTTACTTGTTCACTGTTTATGGTGATGAAAACAGATTATAATTTGTTCTGGATATATATTTCATTTCTTAAGGAAACCGCACTAAGTGTTTATCTCAAAGCGTGTATGATCCTCAAGCGATGGATTTGATTCCACTTACATTAATTAAAATGCAATGAACATCTGCTCTTTATTTTACACTTTACAACTTATCAGAATAATGTTATTTACGTTTTTTTTCCCCTCAAGCTGAATATACAGTTTACTGGTGGCATAAGTAGTTTCTAAGTAAGATGTTATATGGTTCTGTCTTCCATCTTCCGATCACTTTGACTGACTGACAGACATACTGACTGAATTTCAACATAGAACTTCCAACAGAAGTATTGAAGTCCAAAGTTGCTACAGTCCATGTAGCACACAAAGGCAGAGAAAAGAGAAGAAACAGGCGATTCGAAGAAATTATATGTAGTAGAAATTTGGCAGGAGAGAGAATAGTGACATGAAACAATAAGAGAGTTTAACTGATACAGAAGTCTGCAGAGAGTGAATGCACCTGCACCACTCAGAACAACTTTGAGCTTTATCATCAGTAGTCTTCAGCCATTGGTCCTTTGCATCCCGATGATCACAATGAGGCAGTCTATCTTCATCCACGTGGTTTACTGAAACCAACTGTCATAGACTTAATGGACTGACGTTAGTTTGCTGTAAGAGACCGAAGAGAAGAAACCAGGAAACAACCCCAGGTCGTCTATTTTACGTGTAGTAACAACATAATTCATGTTTAAAATATGCACACACATACGCATAATATAATGAAGTGATTACTGCTTTCATTTAAAACAAATATTAAATATGACCAACTGAAAGAAACGACCGAAATTTCTTTGAAAGGTATTTAAACTTAATTCTATTTCACTAACGACTCTTGAGTGAAGCAATATATATATATTATTGTTTCCTTTAATTCCTAGACGAACATAGCGCTTCAACCGTGCGTCTCCATTGCGTTCGTCTCTCTGCTAGAGTCTTCACCTGGCTCCAAGTCTGCCCACACGCTTTCATCTCCTCTGCACATGACCTCCTCCAAGTCACCCTTGCACTGACGACCAACTCGCCGCGTCCCTTTCATGTTCCCCTCAAGGGACAATCGTGTGATGTCACTTGATGGTTTGTTTCCTCAGAGTATGGCCAATCCACCTCCATTTCTTCCTGCTTATTTCTTATACAATTGGTTCCTGCTGGGTTGGTTCGCTCCCACATTTTTCTATTGCTGATCTTTTCTGGCCATCGGATCTTGAGTATTGAGCGAAGACAGCTGTTGATGAAGGTCTGTAGTTTGTTTGAGATGCTCTTTATGACGCGCCACGTCTCTGATCCGTATAGTAGCACTGACTGACTTCACATTGGAGTTGAAAATCCGGATGTTATTTTTGATGCTGAATGCTGTTGACCTCCACACAGACTTGAGAGTAGTGAAAGCTTGTCTTGCTTTTGCGAATCTTGCTTTTATATCCTCGTCAGTTCCGTCCGCCTGTAGTTGAAACGATGCTTCCCAGGTAGGTGGGTAAAGGAGGTTGTTTCTTTTAGGTCCTTTCCATTTATGCTGATCCTTGTCCGTTGTTGTTAGTAGTGTTATCCAGGAATCTTCATCACCTCTTTTTTCTCTATGTTCACCTGAAGTCCTATCTTTGATTTATATATATATATATATATATATATATATAAATATTATATGATGGAAATAGAAATAACCAATAATAAAAAATATTAGGAAGTACAACAGAACGTCACCTTTCCGTTTTATCATGAGAAATAACATAAATTGCAAAATAAATTCTTCTTCCATATTTGATTTTGTTTAAATCCAGCGAAAATTCTTTGTTATAATAAGGTGTAGTCGAGTTTTCAATGGTTTCAGATATCTGTTCATATGAATTTTCTTTATCTGGTGTTACGTTCACCTATAAGTGGAGAGAGAGAGAGAGATAATACAATATAATAGAATTCAGAAATGCCAAGCAATTCACCTGAAAGTGTTTGAGTCTCCTAGTGTGTCACTAGAGAAACAGATTACTGCGACATCTGTGGTTCAGGGAGAGAATGCTGGCCATCCACGTATGTGGTTCGAGGCTCGATTACCAGACGACACACTCTTTAATCCCACCTAGTTTATTAGGCTGTAGTATTACAGGAAGAGAAGAAAGGTTGAACATGAGGTTAGCTACCTCGCCCCGTAAGAATACAACATCGCTGATACTGAAGCCTCAAAGTTGAAGCCTGGATCTCTATATTACTCTTGGGACGCAAAAATATGTAACTATAACTATTGTACTATTGAACTTCAGTGATTATTCAGAAATTGCACAGGCCAAATCATTGTCGAAACAAAAATCTTGTCCAGTATTATGTTTATTTATTTTATTTTTCTCTTAATGTGATTTGTATATGCCATGAAGTGATATTGTGATTTTCTCAACGAAAAGACATTTGAAAAACGGACATTATTATTGTCCAACCAGACTGGGATCAGTAACGTGCTAAAGATATATATAACACTAATACTATGAACACAACATATCCTTAGTGTGGATGATTCTGTGTTTAGGATAAATTACATTGTGGGATTTCATCTGATATTGTTTTCATTACTAGACGGTATATTTGTTAATGACTTAAACTGAATCCACATTTCATCTATCTGCTTGAATAACTGTATAAATTTATTCTCTTACTCCTTCATCACTAGTTCAAAGCGATTTGAAATGATCAATTGCATTGCAGAATTCTGTTTCACTTTTCAACTAACCAATTCTCCCTCCTTCCTTTTTGTTCAAAAGGGAACAAATGGCTTTATGCTTGCAATCAGGTTGCTAACCTCATGCCCAACCTTCTATTTCCTCACGACTTACTATCATTTGGTTAACTGAGAGAGGTTTAAGAATGCGCTGATCGGCAATCTAACTCTGGAACACATCCACGGTTAGCGAATATTGTACCACTGAACCACCGATGTAGAGCTCCCTTTACTGAATGATAAGGAGGAGTGCATATCGACTTCAATAAATATGTATGGACATAGTTATTTGATTTAAGTGTGACGTCATTTTGTGAAATAAACTGTAAATTCCTATGACATAAATGTGTACTATAGTTCAGAGGTTTCTTTCGCCTCCTTACCCGTAGCCTCAAAATGCCCCAAATTTTTAAACAGTCTTAGGATATTGAAATAATAGAGAAGATTTGTAGCTCAGGTGGATGATTTGAAATTGACAGGGTTCTCTGAGCTGGTTGGTTTGGTTACGGAGCTTTTGCCGTCTCCCTGCTGGACAACATCTTCAGCGCAATTTTTAGCACAAAGTGAAATGATTTAAATTTCTTCATGAGTGATATAATTGCGTCTCCTGGTAACCATCTTTACATATGTATTGGTCATTTTCTATTGACTTGGATTTTAAACTTTCTGGTCACCTGATTTACTTTTTATTAGTTGGTATATTTCGCCTATATTACTGTGTTTGTTAATTGCATATTCGTTTGAGTACCAGGCTTCTAGGAATTCCCTGGCACTTTTGGTGTTTCCTCTTTCTAAGATTTCGACATAATATTCCTTAGTAGCAATGCGTATAGACAATTATGGGCATCAGTTTGATTGGGATAATGTCGAAATCTTAGACAGAGGGAACACCAAAAGTGCCAAGGTATTCCTAGAAGCCTGGTACTCAAACGAATATGCAATTAACAAACACGTTAATATAGACCAAATATACCAACTAATGATAAGTAAATCAGGTGACCAGAAAGTTTAAAATTCTAATCAATAGAAAATGATCAATACGGATGTAAAGATGGTTACCGGGAGACGCAATTCTATCACTCATGAAAAATTTGAATCATTTCACTTTATGCTAAATATTGCGCTGTAAGGGGATGTCGTCCAGAAGGACGACGAAAGCTCCGCAACTAAATCAACCAGCTCAGAGAAGACTATTAATGTCAAATCTTAGGATATACGTAATACAGATTTACTGTCAACATTATGCGAAAACCCAGCCAAGCACGATATTTTGCTGTCTGCTTTTTTACTAACTCAACGGAGTATTTTAATGAAATCTCTAATTTGCAAGTTATCAAGTGTTGGCCTGTAGAGATTTGTTCGGTTACAGGTTCGATCATGAGGTGACATCAGTTAGAGAACCATTAGAAAACTGGGAAGTAATAGAGAGCTGTTTCACCCCGGTCTGTGACTCTTCATCACCAAACACTTACTGGGGTTGAAGACCATGGCCTTTCGGTTGCAAGTTGAACTCGTATACCATTCAGCCAGTGGGACCCGATCCAATGGCTCATAAATTCCAGCTTCAGACAATTCGCGATGCATATATGTGTGGCGCAACCGCCAGACAGTTTCGTAGGTGAGAAACTCTTCTTTGACCTGATTCGGTGAACCTGATCACTGATCACAACTTCTCACTGGAACTCCAGGTAACTTCATGTGTGGAGTCAGTCGCTAGTGAGCATTGGACTAGTTATCAAGTGTTGGTTCGCAGGGATTTGATTCGTTACAGGTTCGATCATGAGTTGTCATCAGTTAAAGGGCCAATACAAATTATCAGGAAACAATATTCTCCATGATAATACGTAACAATTATTGTCACGATACAGTCTTTGGTATTAATAACAGTCTAATCTAAGTACGTGTTTCAGCCACGAATAAATAATGATGCAAAACTGTCGTATTTGCCGATAACAGCGATTTATCCGGTTCATTTAATTGTCCATTTGGATAAGTTCTTTTAACATAAATTTTTTACTCAAATCATTAGTACTTAGAGGTAGATGTGAAGTCATTCGTTTACTAGTGAATAGCGTTATAATCCAGGACACGAGCTCGACTTCAGTCGTCTACAGAGAGTACAAACTAAGAGATGATCTGTATTTCGCTGCAATGGAATTAAAGAACGAGGTATCCAAAGTTTTCGCTCATCAGGCCTTCCAGAGGAGTCCAAAAATTGAAAGATAAGTTAAGCGGGGCTCTGCGAGTGTCATGCACGAGACAAAGTCTTTTTAGAGAAAAGTGGAGTCAGCTGAAAAGGGCTTCAGGGAAGAGGATGAAACAGAGATGTGCTTCTAAGGCGGTGTGTTTCATTGAGGACAATAAAATTATATAGTGGCTTTTATGGTCCAATAGTCTCAGTGTGCATTTACCGGGCTTATTACTAGCTTGGAGTTGAACCTCTGATCACGAGTGTGGCTAACGAGAGTGTTCTACCATCGAACCACTGGCGCACGTCATATTGTGCAATCATAAATGACTAAGTGTTAAATATAGACATTAACACAAACAAACACTGCAATTATTGACACAGGAACGGATTTATTGTGTAACACAGCTAGACCAAATTTTGGAAAATCAGGCTCTACACACCATTTTTGATTGCACCAAAACTTGTCACATAATGGGAAGTGATCAAATGACAATGTGAAGTAGATGAAACTTTCCATTCCCTTAAAAAAGTCTTATGAGTGACAAACACTTGTAAGGATAATCAGGATATTATGATAGATTATCATAATTATGGGTAATACGTATTCCTTTGCATGTCCTCAAGACTGCTTAATTGTATCAGAACAAACCTAAGATAGATGTCAGTGAAATACACTTATTGTTGAAAATGTCACAAACAAAATCACTGTAATTTGAGTATACAGTCATTAACATTAGGTTGATACAAGCGATTCAGTACTGTGTCAACAGATCTCCATGCAGTATACTTACTTTCACAAAAGAATTACACATTTGATTGTTGGCAGCGCGTAGACCCTTAGCTTCAATTACTGAAATGCATAAGAAACAATTACCATTAATGGATGTATCGACGAATTAATGACCAATTTAAAGGACAAATATAAATAAATGTGTGAGAAGGTTGCAGAATTATTTCCGGTGAAAGGTCAAATCAATAAAATTACTAAGTGTAATAGGCAGAAATAGGTAGTGGTACTATTCTAGAAGTATTTCAGGTCAAAGGTCAAACAGATAATACAGTGTGTAGTAATCTGGAAGGTCAGGTAGGAAAGACACAATTAGTTGTAATTACTCAGAAGTGGCTTTCGAAGTGAGAATAAAAGTTGTTAGTTACGTAGTACTCAATTGCACGAAGGAAGAGAGGACTAGAAATTTGATAACCCGCCTTGATAAAGGTGCTGACATCGTCCCTAATGATTAAACAAGACTACATCGGTAAAATGTTATCCCGTCATGTCAGATGAAAACAAATTTTCACAAGAAAATAACCAGAAAGACCAAACCGAACAGACTGAAGAGAAGATAGCACAAATGCTGAAGAAGATGAAGAACTAATCCATTATCATTTCTGAATTATTTGAGCAAATGCGACCCTCAGATTCTATAATTCCCCGGTTATATGGTCTGCCGAAAATGCACAAAGAGAAGTTACCAATACGTCCAATCTTGGATATGACAAATTCCCCACATCACGCTACTGCCAAATGGCTCGCCAACATCCTTCTACCTATCAGAAATAATCTCTGTTGATTCAATAAGTGGTGCTAATGTATCCGGGAAGAAAATGATATCCATGGATGTCAAGTTCCTTTTTCACCAATGTTCCTCTCACTGAAACTATTTGCCTTATATGTAAATCTATTGAGGATAGTAATGTGGACGTGGGTGTTCCGATCCACTACTTAGAAGAACTACTGTTGAGGTGCACCCTAAATGTTCAGTTCAAGTTCAACAACACGCTTTATAGACAAAGAGACGGAGTAGTAATAGGGTCGCCATTGGGTCCTCTACTCGCAAACTGTTTCTTGGCAAGCCTAGGGAATAGTAGGTTACGACCCACTATCGATAGTTTTCATATGTACCAAAGATACATGGTTGATACTTTCATCATATTTGACGAGAATGCCAACATCGGAATGATAACTAAGGAGTACATCGGTTGCCATCATGCCATCCACTTCATGTAGGAATCAGAGATGAACTCGAAATTCCATTTTTTGGATGTTTTTCTGAAAACGAGATCTGGTGGTTCTCTTCAAGGTTCGATCTACAGGAAACCAACTTGGAATGGTCAATACACGAATTTTCAGAGCTGGGTCCCTTTGAGAAGAAAGAGAAATCTGATCCATTTCTCATCCTCAAGAATAAAAATGATATGTTCCAGTGATACAATAGATGAGGAACTGGAGCGACTCAGACATTTCCTCATAGAAAATGGATATCCTCCTAGATTCATCGAGGAAAACATGAAGTTAAAGCAAAAGCTTGAAAGAACCCATACGGTGCCGAAGAAACTGCTATTTATGAACATTGAATTCAGAGGTGATAACACAGCTGAGATCCTAAAGAATCGCTTATGCAGATCACTGAGGAAAGCCTTCTTCATGGCTGAGCTAAGGATCAATTTCTACAGCCGACAAATGATCAACGGATGTGTTATGGATAAACTGCCGCTTTGGGCCACTTCAATGTGTGTTTACGAATTGACATGCTTGTGTAGAGCTAGTTATATTGGCCATGCAAAGCGCACACTTTCCAAACGCATCTCTGAACATTATCTGGCATGGTTAGCAAAAGAACAATGCAAGACAATTACTAGCTCAGTGCTCGAGCACTTGGTGAACTCAGGCCACGTAGCTCCACCAGAGTTGTCTTCCAAGATTACCTACAATGTGAAGCCAAATGGTACAAAGGTCATCAGGTTTCGGCTTTTGTGTATGGTGGAGGCTCTGACAATTCATCGATACAACCCCGATCTCTGTATACAAAGAAAGTTTGTCCAGTTTCTTATTCTACCATGGTCTTAACCTCTTAAATTGACACTCAACTATCTTTAATCTTATCAGATTTCTAACCCATTCTTCCATTATGCCTTAGAGTACCACGTAACTCACAACTTTTATTCTCACTTCGAAAGCCACTTCTGAGTAATTACAACTAATTGTGTCTTTCCTACCTGACCTTCCAGATTACTACACACTGTATTTTCTGTTTGACCTTTGACCTGAAATACTTCTAGAATAGTATTACTACCTATTTTTACTTATTACACTTAGTAATTTTATTAAATATAAATAAATCAGCACTCCATTTTGGTTTCTGATATACTCAATTTTCCGGATTAGTTTAATTTATTGAACTTCTCAAACTCGGCCATTGAAAACCGAATATCTTCAAAATAAATCAAAACAGATTTACGGGTTTGTGATTACCGAGAATGTGAACAGAAATACGTTTACTTTTATCATTTGGTGTGTCCATGGTTCTATGATTAGATTTTCGTCAACACCATACATAGTCTGGGTTCAATTCCCGAACAGTGAACTCCTAAACCTCACTTTGTCTACCAGCCATTTGTGAGCTTAGAAAAGGTGGAAGGATGCGCGTGGGATTAGCAACTCCATCTCTTGAAAGAAACCACTGCTACTGACACTTTAAAGCTCAAGTTTAAAGACCTATATTCCAATCAGAACGCAAAAGATTAAAAAAAAAGACGATGGATACTCAATTAATTCAATGCAATTAGTGCGACATTATCAAGCCAGTTCATTTAAACAAGAATGAGTGAATAAACGAATGAATGATTCTACAAAATTAAATTAATTATTTGACTTTTTTGCAAAGGTGAATTTTAAAAAATTTTTCTTTCATTCGCCATTTCCTTTCTTTTTCAATAATTAAGACAAAGTAAAGTAGCGTATAGGAAAAAAAAGCAAAGATTTTGTAGTGTATAGGAAAAAAAGATTTCGAATGTTTAGACTGACAATTAATTACTTTTCTAAAATAAAAAATATTCCAAATAGTTAGTTAACTTGCATATTTTTGTGTTGCCCTGTTGCTCATTAATGTGTTATGATATGCATCAATACATTTTCCTAAATATCATCCATATATATTACTCGTAAGAATACTCAAGGTAGAGCAAGTTAAGCAAGTCGATTTTTACGTAAACCAAATCCAGATAAGCCAAAGGAGGCTAATTGGCACGTTAATTTAAAGATGACTACCCTGAAAACTTGATCATCAGACACATAGTCCAAGAAAGTAGGGAGGAAATTCTTTTGTATCTACTAACAAGAAGTCTCTATACATATGACTAAAAATTAAAAACAACCGGAACTTTGTGTGCATAAAAATACAGGTCCAGCCACCGTATTGCTCTCCTGGACTGCTGTGGAATCTAAAAATTCATAAATTCTGTATAGTTATTTTCCTCCACTTGTCTGATATTCACTTTAGCTTTATACTGATGCAATATTATCATTTGCAGATGCTTTTGAACTGTAAATCTATGAGATTAGACTGTGCAAATTCATCTTGTGAACGTTGTAACTCATACATAGACCTGATTATTATTATTGTTTCCTTTAATTCCTAGACGAACATAGCGCTTCAACCGTGCGTCTCCATTGCGTTCGGTTCTCTGCTATAGTCTTCAACTGGCTCCAAGTCTACCCACACGCTTTCATCTCCTCTGCACATGACCTCCTCCAAGTCACCCTTGCACTGACGACCAACTCGCCGCGTCCCTTTCATGTTCCCCTCAAGGGCCAATCGTGTGATGTCACTTGATGGTTTGTTTCCTCAGAGTATGGCCAATCCACCTCCATTTCTTCCTGCTTATTTCTTATACAATTGGTTCCTGGTTGGTTCGCTCCCAGAGATGTCTGTTGCTGATCTTTTCTGGCCTTCTGATCTTGAGTGGTATTGAGCGGAGACAACTGTTAATGAAGGTGTGTAGTTTGTTTGAGATGCTCTTTATGACGCGCTGGCCAAGTCTCTGATCCGTATATTAAGTGGCACTGACTTCACATTGGAGTTGAAAATCCGGATGTTATTTTTGATGCTGAGTGCTGTTGACCTCTTTTGTACAGTGTCTTCTAGTTTGCATTCAAATCCTGTTTTTGTTGCTCATCGGTGCACTGGAGAATCTTTTGTTTCACCATCCCTCTCTCTTCTATCAGTCTCCAAGTGTCCGTAGTGAGCCATTGTTTGTCCTGTCTCTTCTTTCTGCCTAGAACTTCCATGCAGGTTTGACTCCACACTGTTTTCAAGTTGTTCCATTGCTTTTTGACGCTGACCTCTTCGTTAGTGTTGATTTGTGTCTCGGCTTTGTCCTTTATGCTTGCAGTGAAGTCGACCTGATTAAGTGACTTTAATTTGCTTTATAGACTGACGATGCAAAAGATGTTGTTAGGTTTGTTCAGCTACACTAGAATAAAATGTATCCAGCTTTTAGTTCGCTTATGAATTCTCTATTTGAATAAATTGGCAACATATTTCTCACTATGGCAAAGTTAAACTTTAAGCAACACCAACTACCAATCAGCGAATGTCCTTGGACGCCTCAATCACCTGAAGGAGGCATTTTTGTGTATGGAATACATATATTTATGAAAAATATGCATAAAAACTGTATAAAGTGTTGCAGAGGATAACTTCCTCTCAAATGTGATAAAAATAGCTCTCAGTTTTAAGTTGGAGTATCAACAAAGTATAATTCCATTGTGGGTAAAATTTATTTTGATAAAGTCTCAGGTTGTTGTATAGTAATATTTACTGAGCAATAAATTGCACTCGGAACGTGATCAGTATAAAACCCTGAGACTTTATCAAAATAAATTTTGCCCACGATGGAATGATACTCTACCACAGTGCACAAGTTCTATTCTTATATCAACAGAGTAATTTAACCATATTTTATTTTATTTAGGTCTTCTAACCCTAACAATAACACTAATCTTTCCCTTACCTAATACTGGCGTGAAAATATCCCTCAACTAACTGTAATCTAACTCGAACCAACCGTAATGTCGCCTTTATAAGGTTAACCTAACCCTAACTTGTCCTTGGTTTAAAGCGTTACTTAATCTTTTGCAAACATGCACTGATATCCTATTTAATAACATAACACTTCGATGAGCATATTTTATTGATGATGACAACATTATCTCCCAGGTTTCACTAACTTGTTCAGTGAGCGTTTCAAGGTCATTGGTGTGGTCTCACTCTATTGGTAGTTAGTGGCGCTTAAAGTTTAACTTGTCCCTTACTATCAGTCGATTTTCAAGCTTATACTCACAGCTGCCTAGTAGCTATCTACAAACAGATAGGAAAACAATATTAATAGAAGAGAATACAATAATGACTGCGAAAAAGTGACTTACCATGCAGTTTGATTGAATTACATTGATATTCTATGTCCACTCGAAGTTTTCCTGTCAGCAGTATTGAAAGAATAATAATAATAAAAGAATAGAAAAATCAATCAACTGAAAATTTGATTACTCTTGTGTTGTTACTGTCATCATTTCTGAATTGGAATAAAGCAAGAACAATGGTTTGTGTTTCGTCGGTTATATGATGTGCGCTTATCAATTCACTTGCTTTTGTGGAGCTAGGTATATCGGTCGTTCGACTAGAGTTTTGTCCCAGAGGGTGCAAGAACACTATCCTGCGAAGCAGGGAAATAAGAAGCGCGATCATTGAACATCTGGTCGATAATGATCACCTCATCTCTATAGCCTCTGCCTTTAAAGTCATCTACGAGGCAATAAGTGCTTCACGGAAATCCCTACGTATCCGAATCATCTGTATTGCTGAAGCTTTGGCTATCGAAACAGAAAAGCCAGATCTCTGAGTACAGAGAAAGTTCATTCAACCCCTCCAACTTTCATGGTAATAATCCCTCTATGCTAAAGTATGGTAATCCCTAATCGTATTTTTTCATTTTGTCTGTTCAGTTTGTATACTCTTCCTTAATTACGTCAATTGTTACTATTACTATTCTAACTTTGAACTATCACCGTATTATTTCACTTGTTCCACTTGTCATTCTAAATCAATTCCTTTTTACAACATTAAATTCTATGCTATTAAATCTCACACAATATTACGTAACGTTTTTATTTGATTCGATTTTTAACAAAGCAAGAACTACAGTTTCAGCAGAATAAAATGGTACCATCATTGTTTATTTCGTTGCCTTCTCGTAAGCTGCTTACAGAGCAAAGACATTATTAAATGTATCTACAAAAACAATTTAAACATACTTGCACAGAGTTCATTCTAAACAAAAGTCAGTCGATCAATATACGCATACACTAATAATATATACATATATATATATATGCAATATTAAACACTATTCCGGACATTGATGATCATACACAATGTGAGCCTTCCAGCATCTCACATTCGGATGAAAGAGAGATGAAAAATATCCAGTTACCAGGGCAAAGAGAGACTGATAACCGCGTCTTTCTGGACGCATGGATCAGGTTTCAGGTGCTTGATGGAAATGGCTTCAGCAAACTTAAGGATAATTGAGCTATTTTGCCTATTGATAATTTTGAACGACTTTTCGACGTCCGCCTCATGACCCGTGTCGAGTAGATGCCTAGCGATGGCACTGTTTAAAGCATTTGTTCCCTTTAGACGTAGGATTTTTGGTACATGTTTAGAAAATCGTAGATACACCCTTCTTCTTTCAGTTCTTCCAATGTAACTGCTCCAGCAGATACATGTAAATTTGTATATACAGTTGGAGTTAACATGAGAAGGATATCTATCGATTTTTATTGCATCAAAGAGCAAGTTGTTCGATAGACAGGGACGAGCTTAGCTGCAGGATAGGCTATGGCTAGTGATGTGCTCAGCCTTCTGTTGATCATCGCTGCAATGTTTTCACCTTTATAATCAAGCTGAAAGTAGACTGGCTTTTTTCCTACTGTGATTTGTTTTACAGTAGAAGTTCTTGCTTTGTTCAAATTCATTAAGGGAAATAAATTTGTTTGATTTGCTTATAACGCCATCCAAGTCCTATACATCTTATGAATTATTATATCTCATATGACATTCATTGTTTGCAGCTTGACATTTAACTGTGATTATAGTTACAAACATTTTAATTGCATTTCATACTACTATTATTATATGCATTCATACCTACGATTCCATTCCCTCACCGGATATAACTCCTTAAAAACCACATATTTATGTGGTGAGAGCTGGCTGCTAGCCAAAGTTGGTGAACAGTAATTGACGTCAATGTTTATGTCCTAAATATTGGTGGTGAGAAAATGAGAACAAAGGCTTTGCGTTGGCGGATACAGTTAGCATATGGATGATCTGACACAGCCACAAAGAGATGCAAGGTTAACTTTCTGTGAGAAACAACCAATCAAAAGGCTGTATTTTCTACTAACAATAATCTACAATAATGTACATTAAAATCTATAAATATGTGTTGATTTTCCTTAATAAATGATCTGTTGCCGGGTCCTTGTCTTCTGTTGTTACATTTATGCTATTTTACAGCTTGATGATAAATTTGTTGGAAAGATTCTCTTCACTGAATCACTTGTTTTGATTTTCTATAATGTGATGAGTTCAGCTCAAATTATAGCGACGAAAGATAATTAAAATTACATTATAGCGAAGGGAAAGAGATCAAAGCCATAGAAGAGCAAATAAAGACACCCAGTTACCAGGGCAAAGGAAGGTTGACAACCAGTTAATTCTGAACACATAAATTGGGCTTTAGGCGTTTGCCAGCACTTGCTTCAGTAGAATTAAGGAGGATTGATCTATTATTTTGTTGGTAATTTCAATGGCTTTTTTATACATGTTTAGAGATTCGGAGGTATATCCTTTTTCTCTTCTGCCAATGTACCCTCTACACAGTTGGAGCTAATATGAGAAGGGTATCTTTCGATCTTTGACCAAAGAGTATGTTGTCCAAAACGGGAACCAAATAAGCTGTAGGATATCTTCTGGCTAGTCAAGTATTCAATCTTCTTTTAACTATTCTTGCAATGTTACCACCATCTGAAGTCAACCTGTGTGAAGACAGTGATTCTACTGAGATGTATTTTGACATAAATATACCATTTTCTAGGTACATTTTGTCCTGAAAAACATGCACATAGTAGGTCTCTATGCTAACATTAGTTTGCTTTAAATCTCCGACATTTGTCAGTTAGTTACTGATGGTAACAATTTGAAATGATTACATTTCAAGAATTTTGATTGAGAATCCATTCCTGTCCCCTTCAAACTGTAGAAAGTTCTCGAAAAAATTGAACTTTCTCAAGGTCATATTTAAACTTATTTTCTTATAAGAAGTTGAACTTAGCGCCGACAATCAAACTAATGAAAGTTCGAAACTACTCTTAGTTCTTGTCAAAACAGCGTGTTAACGCACTTAAGGTAAAATTAATTCAAAGGTGAGTGGTCAAGCGGTTGAATGTTTTGGCCAGCTGACTTATTCGGGTAATTTCAATCGACCTAATGGAATGATTACTGATGAAATCTCGATTTGGAGATAGAAGACTTATTCGGTATTTGTTATTCTGTGTCGTCTATAACGAAGCAAAGTAGTCTAGCTGCCTGTCAAAGAGGGTGCTTAGTGAGCAGCAGTTAACTCTGTCCTTCTTTATGTCTGTCGGACATAAATAACTAATGTAGAAGACAAAAAATTAGAGCCAGTTGACTACAGGCTCCTGCTTTTCAATGACTATTTTAAAGATAACGATAAAAAATTAATTATTAGGTTAGTGCGCATGTGGTCTGGGGTTCGATCTCCGGTCGACGCACTCATTTACCTCTCTAAGCCAGTAAAAAAGAAGACTGGTAAAGAAGGAAGGCTGGGCATGATTCTGGCTAACTACCCTATCTTGCAGAAATAAACACCACTGCTACCGAAACCTCAGGTGTGTAGCTTGAAGCTCTAAGTTTCACTGGGAACGTAAAGAAATAAAAATATCAGGTTAATGATAGTGTTATATAAGAATGGAATATCAATGGACAATCTTATAAAGCAAAATATACCAAGCGAACTCCTTTAGTGAGTAATGTTAAATGAAGTTGGGCTAGGTTGAAAGAAAGTTTTAAAAAGTGGTGAAAGGAGGTATGGCATCAATTCGCGAAGTCATTGACTATTCAACTGAGTCACATTGGGAGATACAGGCGGTTTTTCCTGTGTTTTTGAGATACTCAGAAAGAGTAACCTGAAAATGCCATTGATTTGACTGTCGGTTATTCACACATAGGAGCATAAAATAATTAGTTTCTACCGTCTTCTTAATTCTAAGAAGTCATAATAATCTTAATATAATTCTCTTCTGATGATGGCACATACCAAGTGATTTACAACGTAAAGCTCAGCAAAGCCTTTGAAGTAAAGATAGAGGTAAGATAAGGCTGCCAATTATTAACTTTGATATTACTGGTTGTGTTGAACTGGATCATCCAAAAGACTGTGGAGAGCAAGAAGATAGACACAGTTTGGACCTACAACAAGACTTTAAATGATCTGAACTTCGTGGATGAATAATGTCTAATGTCACAAAACCCGAAGATATACAGGCGGAAACCAGTAAGTTGGCAGAAGAAGAAGCAAAGACATTACTTCAGGTGGACATGGAGAACATAGTGGTGATGATGGTGCTCAGCCAACAACAACAAGAACGAATAACGTTCAGCGGAAGAAATCTACCTAGGCAGCATTGTTTCGACTTTAGGCAGCAGTACGAATGAATATGTCAAAGCTTTGATTGCATTGAGAAAGGGAGGTAGACCTTCGCTACTCTGAAATCACTATGGAAATCTCCTGTGCTCAGCATAAATAACAGGGTTACGATTTTTACGCAAACTTGAAGTCGGTTAGTCCTTCGAAATGGTTCAGAGGCTTGGCGAGTCAAAAAATGTATTTTCAACAGGCCACAGACTTTTATCAACAACTGCCCCCTTCACTCCATACTGAAGACTAAATGACTCGTTTGAAAGGACGAGTAAGAAAGGACTAGGATATCAAACTAAACAAGGCCCTATTGCTCAACAAATATGCACGAGGAAACGGTGATGAGTCGGTCGGATATCCGCTGAGCACACCGTCAAGTAACATCACGCGTCATGCTGACCCACGTGTGGAACCCAAGTAAACGTGGCTCCTAAGGTGAAACGGAGGGAATCTCTACCAAAGTGCACAAGTTATATTCTTATGTCATAACATTACTTACTTTTTGTTTCTTATTTTGTGTAAAGTTTCGAAATTGGCAACTTTAATTACTGCACTTATTTGGTAATTTCAACGTGACCTATCGACCGATAAATATTTATAATTTTTGCAACACATGGAAAATACTTTGCATTTTGATTGGTAGCAGATCACACATAACGTGAGTTCTCAATAAAATCTTGAAGAACTTCTGTCGAA